AAAAATTACTTAACGGATTTTGATGAAACTTTACAGTATTAATGTTTATAATCCAGATTAAAAAATAGGCTATAATTTATGACGATCTGTGACAAACTAAATTTCACGCGGGTGAAGCCGCCGGCAAAAGCTAGTTCACAATATTCCTGGGAGTCTACTGTCTATGTCTTTATCGCTCGTATTCATAAACGATGCTTGCTTAAGTGAAGCAGCAAATCGAATGCACAGCGTTGAATAGAGCTCTGTGATTGGTTCGCGTCCACGTGCACTGTGAGACCTCATAGTAATGTTTGCGAATACGGGCGTATGTCTATAAGATACAAGTAAATAAAATAGAGAGGTAATTACTGGATATAACGTCTACAACGAAATGTAGTGCATTTTTCACTAGACCACTTAAAAGTCATTAATCCATCATCCATTGCGGATCAGAAGATAACTTAATCTTGCCTTTTTAGGCCACCAATTTAATAAACTCGTTCAGTGCGAAAATATCTCATACTTAACTGCGCCTTTCTTTGAAGTGCTAAAAAACTTATCAAGGGGCAGTCTTGATTCGCCCGTACAATCCATCAACGGGGTGTACAGACCACTTATCCATGACCATGATCACCTGGACATGAGCTCCCCTGGCATACCTGGATGTCTTTAAATAGACTTAGGACGCAGGTAGGCTGTAGTAAAGACAATCGTTCAGATGGGCATGCTCAGATGGCTCAAAATTTTGTGCAAGTGTGGTTGTGTTGCCCAGTACACATGATGTCATGCACTGCGTGCCCAAACAACTGCTCGCAGAAAGGTTTGATGAATGCTACTGACAACTCCACTCTTGTAGCAGAATTTTGGGCTGATACCCAAGGCTGACACTGTCTAGGTTTGTTGTCGAAACGATAAGAAGAAGAACATTGTAGATGTCGGGTGCTATCAATCCAGACCTGAGAAGATAGCCAGCTTAGGGCCCTCGCCCACGGCGGCTATAGCCGCGTGCGTTATAACGCACCTTAGTCGCATTTGCAACGCACTACAGAAGGGATGCCAACGCGCTACTAACGCGCTACTAACGCGCTAAAGCAGCGCGACTGCATCGCTACAAAAAGTCGCCGTGGGCGAGGGCAGCCAATTGCACCTAACCCAACTTGTGAAAGCCAAGATTTCCTAAGGAAAAATTGTGTTGAATATTGTTGTAGGAAATAAAAGGAGTTCGAAACTACTCATGTGATAACTGCTGTGCATGTAATTCTGTTGCAATGGGAGTTTCATAATGATGATGATGATGATTTTTTTTCTTGGTTTCCTTCCTAGCTAACTAGCTACGTGTGTACTCAGAGCATTCGCAAGATAATGCGGAGTCTGTGGAACTAATTTGTCTGCGAATCAAAATGACTGACCTTTAAATAAACGCATGGTTAGTGGGTAAACTGTTATTTCTCCATTACCAGAGGCTGATTCGGTGTTTTTTGTCCCAAAGTACACGAAATTGGAGGCAAATGGGACGGTTTCTTTCAAGGCGCGGTATTATTTGGTCGAATATACTCGTATTATGTTAAATATTTACTATCATTAGTCCGCTACTACGGACTTGTAAATTGTACCTTGATAAAAAGTAGGCTAAATTAATTATAGCCTATGTGCTGTTCAACCAACTTTGCGACTTCAAGCTCCGTTCAGTAGGTACATAATTAAATGTTTCATTCATGACGGACAAAATATCATCCGGCCGTCCTCAAAAGTAGGGCCTATGTCCAGCTGTGAACATGGCTGAAATGACTTCAGGTTGTCTTCATTATTTAATCTTATTTAGACTGAATAATGTTTTTGCTTCATCTCAGACCTCATCACCATTTGTCATCAAGTGACTTCCAAGAAAAAGTTATTAAGTCTGTTTTTTTCATACTAATAGGTACTTCATAAGAATGGGTATATTGTTTTCCATTACTTCTAATATAAGACTACACCTTTACATCATGATTGAAGTATGCATTTTAATCTTCATACTTATTTCTATCATATTGTATTTATGAACGCAATTTACCATACCTGAACGAATATATCAACATGAAATTAGGTTTATTTAAAAAGTGTGTGAAAAATGTGGCTCTATGCATTAAGCAAGTATCTTATCTTGTTTGTAATTGTAAGTGAGGCGACATGTCAGTAAGAATCAGTAGGTTTTCTAACAGGAGAATATGCCCATCTCTCGTTCCCACTGCTGCAAGTTGCAACTCCTGTGCAGCCGGGATCTACAGCTTGACCTCCTATAAAAACCCAACAGTCGATGTTAATAGGCGTCAGGCAACTGTAGTTGTCATGAGAAGTATCAGCCGAGGACATTCACCAGCTCTTTATGGCTAGTAAGTATAAGAAGCATAATATGGATTTTTCTTCTGTCAAGCAGCTGAGGTCACAACCCTGGTACATGTTTGTAAGTACTCTCGTAACAAGCTCTACAGATATTTTAATCAATGTTTGTCTTACTGAGGATCGAGCCCAGAACCTGTAGACTTGAGAGAGTTGTTTGTGAGATGAATAACAACATACTTATTGCCAATGGAAATGGTTATCTTGAATATCTCCATGTTTTTATATTCACAACGAGGAAGCTCTTACCTTAATTTCACCTGATGGAAAGTGCTCACCCGGAATTCTCAACCACAGAGGAACTGGCTATCTGACCTATGTCTAAGAGAGATGGTCAAGTAGTTTGGAAGCCCTTGTTTACATTTTTGCTTTTGATAGCTGTGAGCGCACTGAATCCACCTCCACTTTGGTTAACTTTACATAAATATGCATTAAAACACCTATTGTGTAAATCCAATCAGTACCTAAGCACCTTGAAGATGTCTATGAAATTGCTACTACCTACATAACACTAATATATTTGCAATTTAAAACAACTTCTAACACATTCGCAGTTAATGAGCGTTTACTTTTAACTGTGCAATTTCCCTATAATGTAATATTCATAACTAATCAATAGAGATAGTGATTTTATTTCACCACACCCATTTGTGTGGTATTTTAATAAGCAATCCTAACTTATTTGTTACTATAATGATTCCTGAATAAATAAGTATGATGGAAATGATGATAATGATCAATGGGTAAATGGTTATTGAACAAGAAAAATAGACATAGGAAGCTGAAATTCTGCAGAATTATGTGCGCAATAAGAGAAATAGAAAGAATGTATTTATTTAGTATCCACTATTGGAACACGACCCTCTCCAATTTACCAGAGATATATTATGGAGGATTTGTTTGGCATACATTCTCTACGCTGCCCAAACGGGTTGAAGATGATTATTATTAAAATCATTGCATTGTCTATTATAAGTTTCATAGTTATCGTCTCATCATCATCAGATACAGTTAATGATATAAAAAAAACTGCTTTTGAATTGACTTTAGAGGTCTTGCTGTTAAAAGTGATTTTCATCACATCACGACATTCTAAGAACAAATCTAAAGATAATATTTTCATTACAATATTTAAGTTTAAAGCATTCATTCTTTTCATCCTTTAGTTTCTTTATTCCCGTGTCGACATTAAGTGGGACTTAAACCATGTTCGCCATAAGATGCGCAATTGCTTAGTTAATGGACCACATTCGCCGTGCCTTGGGCTCGGACCGCGCCTTACATTCATTATTGTAATATAATAGTTATTTAGTGATGTGTAAGTGCTTGTACTTCAAGTCAAGTAATGCATCTAGAGATAGCCGGTTTTGTTAAGTTAAACTAGAGTTTATTGAATTGAGTTGACCTGTGACATCAATACTTACTTAATCAAATCATTATTTGATTTGATTCAAAAACTTACTTTGTATCTGTTGTTACAATGTTTCTGCGAATCGTCAAATGTAACTTACCTGAAACAAATGAAAACACTTTATTCAGTCTATGGTGGTAATCCACTGCTGGATTACCTCACCCATAGAACGTTAGAAAGCACGATCTTCTACTTTTTCATCCAGCAGCCGCTGCCATCTTCCTGAATTCATCGGTTCTCCGACAAATACGAGTATGGCAGGATGAGCTGGCTATATTTTAAATTACATTGTCAATTATATACTTACCTGCTTTAGTTTTCTTCCGAACGATCTTCGAAGCATCGACTTTTCCATGTCTCGCTGAGCGGTTTATACTTATTTTAAAAACTGTAAAGAAATTAGGTTTATACCTATTAAACTTTATTTCATTTCAGACATGGTCTTTTATTTCATTAACCGGTTACTGCAACTTGTTTCTCAAGTACGACCTGTCACATCACTACGCCTCCTAATGACTAGCGAGCCGCGACAATATTAAAACTTAACACCACTATGATTAGCAAATTGATAGCTTTTGTTTAGTGTTGTACTCACTGTTTCGACGTTTAATTGAATGAATAACGCTGATTGAAGAAATAATTCGTGTATTTCGATTACTTTTCAGATTAATTTACAACCGTTGTTCGTTCGTGTTTTCTTGCTGGTAATCGAGTGAAGTTGACGCGGGCCGCCCCGCGCTCCCCTCCCGGCTCCTTGCTCGTATACAACTTCAGACGTATTATGTGCGCTGATGCGCCGATAGATGGCGTTAACATGCCGCCGGCCTTGGAAGCTCCAAGCTTCCAAAATGATGATGATCGAATCGTCATGCGTGTGTCATCGAAGGGCTCCCCGATGATGCTGCAGGCGTCCACGAGACCGCAGGCCTCGACGAGATCGCAGGCGTCGACGAGATTGCTGGCGTCGACGAGATTGCAGGCGTCGACGAGATTGCAGGCGTCGACAATTCAGCTGCAGTGGGCAGTGGTAGTGGGCAGATCTTTGAAAAGGCCCGCTGTACTGTCCCCGTCGCGGTGCGAATGTCAGCGACTCGTGAAACTCCGTCTCTGCCAGGGAAGACGCGTATGATTCTCCCCAGGCACCACTTGAGAGGCGATTGATGATCGTCTTTGATAAGGACAAGACTATCTAGTTTTATGTCGTCCTTCTGCGTTTTCCATTTTGTTCTTAGTTGAAGCTCCGCCACGTATTCTGTCGACCAGCGCCTCCAGAAATGTTGCCGTAGTTGCTCGACTCGGTCGTAGCGTGCCAGGCGACTGCTCGGCACCTCGGTGATGTCTTCGCAGGCTGGAGCGGTCAACGGTCGGCCGATGAGAAAGTGGGCAGGAGTTAAGGGTAAGAGGTCGGAAGGATCTGTAGACATAGCTGATAGAGGACGGGAATTCAGGATGGCTTCAATTAGTACTAAAACAGTGCTAAATTCCTCATATGTTAGGTGAGCATTGCCTACTATACGTCTAAGATGATGCTTGCATGATCGAACTCCTGCCTCCCAAAGTCCCCCAAAATGAGCAGCGTATACTGGAATATGTTTAAATTTTATGCCATCGTTGGCAGTAAAATCTATAATTTTATCGATATTATCTTGAATTAATAATGGAAACTCTTTTTCTGCTCCAACGAAATTTTTTCCGTTGTCAGAGTGTATTTCTGCGGGTTTTCCGCGTCTTGAAATAAATCTCTTTAACGCTAAAATATAATCATTAGTGGATAAGCCACTTACTAATTCTAAATGAATGCATCTAGTTGTAAAACAAACGAATAAACAAATGTAAGCCTTTATTAATTTTGACCCCCGACCTTTGCGGTTCAATATGAAAACTGGTCCCGCGTAATCTACGCCAGTGTACATAAAAGGAAAACCTGCCTCTAAACGTTCTTTAGGTAAATTACCCATTATTGGAGTTAAAGTTTTTCCTTTCAGGCGTGAACACCTTACGCATTCATGCACTATTTTTCTAGCGAGATTCCTACCAGAAAGCGGCCACCAACTTTCGCGTATAGTGCACAATAGGTGCTGGGGTCCAGCGTGTAATAAATGTTTATGATAGTATTTAAATAAAAGACCGGTAAAATGATGTTTGCTACACAACAATGCAGGATGCCGTTTATCATAATTAAACCTGGACGAATCGCATAACCTACCTCCCACACGAATTAATTTATTATCGTCAAGAAATACATTTAAACTTAAAATACCATTCGCTTCTTTACATTTTGTTAGTGGTATTTCGTTTAATAAGTTGTTGTATACAGTCGGAAACATCTGGGCTTGCGCGCAGCGTGTCACAACAATTTCTGCATCGTGTAACTCGGCGACTGATAAGGGACCGGTGCGTCGCGCCTGCTTATTGCGTGTATTGTGAATGAACCTCAGTAGGTACGCTCCAGTCCGCTTCAATCTATTAAACTGTGAAAACCTTTTGAAGTCGAATAAGCTATCTGCATTTGTACAAACTGCACTAACTATTTTAAGTTTTAACTCTGGTAGATCTTCACGGATAGGTATCGCTTGAGTATCCCTTGACCAGTCTGCACAATGTAAAAAGGTAGGCCCGTGCCACCACAGGTTATTGTTCTTTAGTGCATCGATGTAAAGGCCCCTTGACACTAGATCGGCTGGGTTTTTATCGCCGTCTATATGCAACCACAGTGAATCGCCTGTCAACTCGTTTACTTCTGTTATTCGATTTTGTACAAAAGTTTTTAATAAATGTGGAGACATACGTAACCACCCCATCACGATTGTTGAGTCCGTCCAAAAGCAAACAGAATCGAATTTTAATCTAAGTGACTCAACAATCTTTTTGTACAATCTCGCACCAATTAAAGCACCACAAAGTTCTAATTTTGGGATACTGATCGTTTTCAAGGGAGCAACCTTACTTTTTGCACATAGTAGATTAAGCGAGACTACTGAATTCTCATCTATTGTACGAATATATGCACAAGCGCCGTATGCATCTTGTGATGCGTCTGAAAAAATATGTAGTTCCGTACGATGAGTGTGAGCTGCCCTAACACATCGTGGAATTTTAATGTCGTGTAAATGTTTTTGAATCGAATCTATGAATTTATGGAATTTTTCTGTGACGTCACTCGGTACTAGGTCATCCCAGTCGATTTTACATAGCCACAGCTTTTGTAAAATGATCTTAGAAATTATGACAACAGGGCCTAGGAGACCTAAAGGGTCATAAATTTGAGAAATGATTGACAACATCTTTCGTTTAGTTAATTGAGTGTTATCGCAGTTCTTACCTAACTCGGACGTAAAATGAAGTAGGTCATTTTTATTATGCCATCCTAAACCGAGTGTTTTTGTTTGTGTATGCTCGCCTATTGCCAACTCTTTTGACGAGTTTGTCGAGGTTACGTCACAGTTAAATGTCCATTTACGTAATGGGTAACAATATTGCCTTAAAATTTGTGATATTTTTTCGCAAATATTTATCAATTCAGCAGGATCATCGCATCCTGTAATTAGATCATCAACGTAAAAGTCCTCTTTGATAATGCGCGATATTTTTTCATCGTCGCATTCCTGTGCTACCTGTTGTAGGCATCGCATACTAAGGTACGGCGCTGACGCAGTGCCATACGTCACGGTATTTAACCTATACACGTCTATCGGATCCGAAGAGCTTTCTCTCCAAAGTATAAGCTGTAAATTACGCTGGTCTTCATGAATGAGCGTCTGTCGAAACATCTTCTCGACGTCCGCGCTTGCTACCCAATAATATTGCCTAAAGCGTAATAAAATCGAGAAAATATCGTTTTGAAGCCTAGGTCCGATAAACTGTAAATCGTTTAAGGATTTATCAGAGGTAGTGGCGCAGCTGGCGTCAAATACTACCCTTAATTTAGTTGTAGTACTACTCTCGCGAAATACGCCGTGATGCGGTAAAAAATAGTGTGGATCACTGTACTCGTTTATTTTTGTCATGTGACCTAAATCCCTATATTCTCGTATAAAATCCGCATACATACGTTTATATTGAGGCATACGTTCTAACTTCCGTTCTAAAGAGAGAAATCGTTTATAGGCAACCGAATATGAGTCACCCAACAAATCAGCTGACTCCTTTAGAGGTATTCGAACTGAAAACCTACCATCTATTTCCCGTTTTGTCGTATTTTTAAATATTTCCTCGCATTTACGTTCATCACAGGTAAGTATATTTTCGCGAGGGCCACTATCCTCCAATTCCCAAAATTGACGTAATTGTAAATCGATAGTTTGTGTAAAATTGCATTGAATGTTTTGTTTACAACGCATTTTATTCGTATAAATTGGTCCGGAAATCAACCAGCCCAATTTCGTATCTTGAAGGTACGGACCACTTTTTAATCGTATTTTATTATCGTTTAAAATTTCCCAAAATAAGTCCGCACCTATTAATAAATCGACTTCCGAAGGTAGATAATAAGTAGGATCAGCGAGCTCGATGTTGTTTGGAATTCGTATAGTCTCAACATCGATACTCACGGGCGGTAAGAATGACGTGATACGCGGTAAAACAAAACATTGAACGCTCGTAGAAAAATCGTTTAACTTTGAGTGAATAATCAAATCGCATAATTTATTAGAGTGTGACACCGATTGTCCCACACCTGATATTCGAACAGTGGACTGTAAAAACTTCGTATACTTAATTCGTTTACAAAATGTTTCCGAAACGAAACAATGTTGGCTCCCGTTATCTAGGAGCGCTCGTGCCGTGTGTCGCTTATTATTATCGTCCAGTACTTCGATTAGCGCTGTAGATAATAGAACTGGTCGCGTCAACACCGGCAGAGGTGTATTTTGTGTTTGATTCAATGATGAATGCAATACAGTTGATTTTAATTGTGACGTACTGGATGCATTATGTGATGACGTATTAACACAGTTGAGGGAATCTTTATGTAGTAAGCTGTTATGTTTTTGTTTACATTGCTGACAAGGGCCGAAAAAACAGTCTTTAATCAAGTGACCTGGACGTAAACAATTGGGACAAAGGTTGTTATCATTGACTAATTTATGTCGATCCTCAACAGACAAATTTAAAAACATACTACATATGTATAACGCGTGATTCCCACGACATAATACACAAACACGATTACGTTTAGCTGATTTATTGTTTTCCGATTTCGCAGCCACATAACTATAACTATGTGCTTGCACTGCTGGAGATTTCACATTTTGAGACTGTTTATTACTATTATTGAATTTATTAAAGTTGCTGTTATTAGAATTGCTATTATTATTATTCACGTTTATCATTTCTAATAAATCAGCTCGGTTCTTGAGAAAGGTCAGCAAATCGTCCAGTTTCAACTTACGGTTAGAACTATTTGTAATTAACGCGCCCTTGTGATTCTCCCACTCACGTTCAGTGGATGAATCGAGTTTACATACGATTAAATACATAATCAGAGTGTCCCATGACTTGGTGGGTTCTCCTAATGATTCTAGGGCACGTAAATTACGCAAAATAGTGTCAATTAGTTTTCTAATAAGTAAAGGTGATTCCCTATTCATATTTGGCAAAGAAAACAACGACTTTACATGGTTGTGTATCAAAAGACGATCGTTTTGGAATCTATTGACTAATAGTTCCCACGCATGAACATAATTTGCATCTGTTAATTCCAATGCGCCTATGACCTGAAGTGCACTACCGCTAAGCGATGACCGCAAATAATGGAACTTTTGAATCGCATCTAAATCGGTACGGCAATGAATCATAGTACAATAGGAATTTTTGAATTCTAGCCAGTTGTCATAAGAACCGTCAAAGGTGGGTAATTTAATATCAGGTAATTTAATTTGCATCGACTGACCTTTTTTGCATAAATTACCGCTATTCGTAACAATATCATCACTATTGTCTTCCAAAATCGATTTAGCAAGAGAAATACACCCGTAATACTGTTCCTCAAAACTTTCTCGATATTCAATAAGACTTACAAGATCATTTTCATCAGAGATTTCCTCTATTTTACTTTGTAATGCATTAAATTCATCAAATACAGACTCCAATTGAGAAATTCTTAATTTTAATTCAATTAATTGAGGCTTTGTCAAATCGATATTTTGTAATTTTGAAATATATTTATCGAATGACGTTAATCGAGCTTTGAGTACTCCTCTTTGCCTTTTTAGGTCTGTAACGGATGTTTTTAAAGAAGTAGAACGTTCTTTGGAGGCTGACCGACTACCCTCCCTAGAAGATGTTTTAGGAATTCTAAGCTTAGAATTTGCAGAAACATATTCCTCATCGCTCATTATGGGAAGAAATTAGAAAGCAAAGAGTACGTACGGTTTTTTGCAGGATCACCTTATTCGCTTACGGCGCACAGTAGGCTGTGACGTTGCAGTTGTCACGAACACCACAAACGGCTGGAATTTTGAAAAATAACACTGTTTCAGCACTAATCGATTAGGATGGGACGTGAAAAGGAAGGATAACACCTGACCGTTGATCCGATTGATGTGTCTTGGCCTGGTTCCTCGTCTTTGGCTTCAGTTTCAGGATACGCGCCGGGCAACGACTTCCGTGCAATATCTTGAGTCCAAGGCTCCGTCCGACTCGTAGGACCAATGTTTCGACGTTTAATTGAATGAATAACGCTGATTGAAGAAATAATTCGTGTATTTCGATTACTTTTCAGATTAATTTACAACCGTTGTTCGTTCGTGTTTTCTTGCTGGTAATCGAGTGAAGTTGACGCGGGCCGCCCCGCGCTCCCCTCCCGGCTCCTTGCTCGTATACAACTTCAGACGTATTATGTGCGCTGATACGCCGATAGATGGCGTTAACACTCACATGGTAAATTAGCTGTCGATTTTGCTATAAGGTGGGGGTCATAGTGGCTTTGACAGCTACCCTCAAAAGATTATCTGGCAAGGAGTTGGAACAGTCAAAACTATGTGGCTGATGAGGAAACAACTTCTAATCATTGCCCAAATACTATACTTAAAAATCAGATTTTATGGTGTGGTAGTATTTGGGCAATGATTAGAAGTTGTTTCCTCATCAGCCAGATAGTTTTGACAGTTCCAACTTTCAGCTTTTATAAAATGACGTAGGTCTGGCGTTCATAGCTCTTAGTCTATATGGAAAGAAGGCAATGGAAGAAGCATTAGTGATGTTGCGCGCTAATAATAATAAATTAAGGCGATAGGTNAACCCTTCATTTGGCAAGACACAAATTGTTTGATTTTTTCAATAAAATCTATTTAGACCTAATTGTTACTATCAAATAAAGTTAAGAAAAATAGTAAAAAAAATATTTGGTTGGTATTTTCGCGAAAAACGATTGTTGCTTATTTACCACATTGCCAAATAGGGGTACTTAAATAAAACATTGAGATATATTATAGAATTAAGTTTTTTATATGAAAATCTTAAAAAAATCAATCGTTTTTCACATTTTATGCATTAAACTTTTTTTTGGCCATTTTCGCAAAGTCGACAATGACCTTTTTTTCCAACATTTGATAGATGACGTATGTCATCATACTTCACGATCAATATGCCGAGCCAAGGTTGGCTTTTTATTTTCTCTTTAGCTTCTGAAACTGGTATGTTACCGTTATCTGCTATAGTTGTTGACTTCAACGCAAGAAAAATGTGTTTATCATTTAAATCAGTTCAGCGGTATAAGTGTGAAGACAAACAACACAGAGACAGACAGCAAATTCTTCCTCTCTCCTAAAATGATGTGCCCGACAGGGTCCATAATTGCATCAAAAGTAATTACTATACCATCTCTATAACATTATTAATGTAATACATGATTGATTTATTGTGTATTGACACTCTTTTGTATTAACAAAAAGCTAAACCTATTTTGTTAGATGTTTGGCACTGTTGCTTCTAGGCAACATCGAGGTTCGGAAGCATGTATTGTATTAGAAAACACAGTTTCTACGCCAAATATTGCTTTATATGATTAGTTTGATTTATTGTGAATTAAATTTAGACAAAACAAAAACAATTAGAGATGACAAAATAGTACAAAATCATAAAACTTCCGTCTTTGTTATTCTCATTGCGCGTCATTTTGGCGTCTGACAGAAATATGGATAGGAAATCACTCAAAACTCAGTCGACGACCGATTTACTAGTGTTTTGCTGAACTAAGCTTCGTAACAAAAAACCTACACTAAAACGTAGAAAAATAATTACTAATTACCTACTTATTTATTAGGACGAATTATTAATCTTTATGTAGGTATACCATGATAGATACTTCTGGAGT